CTTACCGGCGGCGACTGCTGTGGTGAATATTTTGCCGGCTGAAAAAAAAAACGGAATGGATAAGTAACGCCTTTTTCTGATTTTTTTGTTTATTTTCAAATGTTGAAATAATTAAAGGCGGGAAATTTAAGGTACTAAATTTTAGTAAATTGGTGTCTATTTTAGTCGGACGATGATAATAAATTAATAATATAATCACGATTTAGTAATTTACTTACACTTTTCGAAATCAATTACGGTCAAAATTGACAAATGCAGGTCTTCAGTTCATTAATTTACCAAAGACTAAATGGTTTACACATTAGATAATCAAGACAACAGAAAGTCACTAATGACTAATCATATTCACCAATGCTTCCAAGATTTAAAAGCACATAAATTTTTCCAATGTTTTGTTGTTGTTGTGTTAACCGGATTCCGATTTACGTCATTGAATTTGTCGAGCTTGTTCCCCAACAATTCGTTGATCAGATGTAATGGTTCTAGTTCTGTTGTAACTTTTGCTGCCATGAACTTGAATTTGTTCTCTTTGAAATTCACGTGGAAATCAGGTCCATCTGTAGCACCATATGGATGCACACCATATCTCACCTAATAAAGTAGATATCCTAGATTGAAACAGTCAGCTGCTTGACTCTCTTTCTCCCCTCGTATTTGCTCCGGAGCACGCCAAAGAGCCATGTTGTGGTTGTAGGGTAAAGATTTTTTCGCATCCAGATATTGAATCCTCTCAAAACCCGATATCCTCGCCTTTACATCTGTTGAATCACGAACCACCAATCTAATAGAATCTGGATGCAAACTTCGGTGAATAACCTTCTTCCTATGAATATCAACTACTCCATTGATTATTTCAATTATTATGCTCTTTTTCAACTCTGACAAACCCTGGCCTCAAGGTGCCTTTAACACATCCTTCATATCCATATCTATAGGTTCTTTGCTTTATCTAGTTTTATCTTCACCACATTCTCTAATGTACGCGGCCCGTGCAGGAGAATTCAGTGTCATGCATGTAATCGATCACCCGAAGAACATGTATAGAGTTTTCAGAAGATAGACGCTGGTTTGAGAACTCTTGTAGAATCTCATTACATCCCTCAACTCGCTTCCAAGATTTAAAAACACATAAATTTTTCAAA